TTCTAAAACTACCATTCAAGCCAAACGAAAAATGGACTAAAAACAAGTATTTTTTAGGATATTTCTTTAAGTTTTAATATTTAAAATCACTTACCATTAGTTTAGTTCTTTATGGTTTGAAGCTAAAGACTATTAAAGACACTAGTCCAACAACAAACATTAGTTATCACTTTTCCCCAATTTTTATGATTTTCGAAACGAATTTCATCCCAAGGGAAATAGAAATGTTGAAATTAGCTTTTACAGCTGCATACATATATACATTTTCACAGTCATTAAATCATATTCATTCATTTATTTCCTTACTTTATTATTGCTTTTTAATTTAGCTTTAAAACGACTGATTTATACATACAAATAAATATGCGCATATGATATATATTTTCAAAATGTAATCGCCATAATGTTCATCCATTTGGAGTTGACATAAACCCTCTTATCATGTTTACCTACATATATATACATTTCGTATATAGTTATGTATGTAAAACTGAACTGAAGGCAGACCAAATTACAAGTATTTAGAAAGCAATTACGATAAATCAGTATACATTCGCCCATTTAACATATATACACTCTCCAGCACACACATACATGCACATACCACTGCTATTGTTGGCTTTGTTGTTATTGAATCAATGACAGTTTGGTAATGAATATTTAAACGATGAACAATTTCAAAACTCGTTGGCATATATGTATGTATATACATACGTGTATGTATGTAAATCTATGTATGTATATGTAGTCATCTTTCCAAGTAAAGTGATTGCTGACTGGCATCGTTGAAAGCTAAAATGCAATTAACTATGGAAACTTTTGTGGCAATAAGGATATTCATAAATATATATATGTACATATGTCTATGTACATACGTATGTATGTATGTATGTATGAGTAAATGAACATATTTACAAAATTTTTGAAATCATCTTCATCTTTCTCACACAATATCTGTAGAACATTGTGAAAATGTTGATTGTTGATGAGAATAACAATGACAGCACACATTTAATTCATTACAATAACTATTATTAAAACTAAAGCATTTGTTGATGGCGGAGTTTCGTTTAATGTACCTCCACCCCCTTCCACAGAGTTGGAGTTTGCGCATTTAATACAAAAGTTATGCGCCACAGATGTGAATTACAGCATTCTTGTATGTACTAGCATTTATATATATGTATATGTAAGACTGCATAAAACTTGAATTTGTCTGGGGGATGATTTGCCATATTGAATAATTCATATGTTAATTATCTTACATACCCTAGTAATGTGAGTTCGAGCTTATTTTCGTGAGACGATACTGGTATCGATAACTCGAAAGCATAGATATATCCACCTCGCTAACAGGAAAACTTAACTCAACGAAATGAGTTATCAAAACGAAATTAAATCGTTAACATTAATTTTAACTTAACAGCAAACCTCGATTTCAACTTTTAGCATTATCTGCCAACGATTTAACATCAACATTAACGATTGATTGATAACCGCTTTAACGTCATTTTTTTCTAAATATTTTAACCGAATCGATAGAAATTTTTTGTTTGAATAGAGATTCATCGTTGTGGTGCGACCGTGATCTATATAAATAAAAATATTCTTTTCAACATTTCGGGCGGTATTTCACGAATAAATGCTTCAATGTTGTCCTCCAATGCGTCAATTGAAGCGAGCTTGTCTGTATAGACATTAAATTTAACATAGCCCCACAAAAAATAATCTAAAGGCATAAAATCGCACGATCTAGGCGGCCAATCGACCGATCCCGAACGTGAAATAAAATGTTCCCCGGATCCACCTCTCAATAAGTCCATTATTACGCATGCTGTGCGGCATGTGGCACGGTCTTGTTGAAACCACATGTCATGCAAGTCAAGCCCTTGAATTTAATGCAAAAAAAAGTTTGATATCATCTCCCGGTAGTGCTCACCATTTACAATTACGTTACGATTCGCATCATCTTTGAAAAATTACGGACCATTGATGCCACCAGCCCGTAAACCGCACCAAACTGTGACTTTTTCTGCATGCATTGGTAGCTCTTGCAATGCTTCTGGCTGATCTTCACTTTAATTCTGCTTATTTACGCACCCATTAAGCCAAAAATGATCTTCGAAGTGCGCCAAACTCCGCGCTTTGTTCCGTTTGTAAGACGACTCATGGTAAAATATAGACCAAACTGAAGATGTTTGACAGTGAAACAGAACACGAAACGTGCGTCAGCTGTTTAAACTGGTGTTGCCAAAGAGATAATAGCTTAAAATTCACCCTTTATATATAATACGAGTTCATTAAAATCTTATGTTCGTTTGTATGGATGGTAATCCTCCAAAGTTGACCGATTGTTCTATAGTAAAGGGAAAGGTACGTGTATATACGAAAATGGCTAGTTAGGTGGCTTTTTTCTTAGTTAAATTGGAATATTGCTCTTTGCTCCGGGAAGTGGAACATGACCTATTAGAAAAGCGTCTTGCTCATGATTCGATTTTCTTGAAATTCGATAAATTAGTTGTTTTTTTTTGCGAAAAATAGTTCATTTTTCTCGTAATTTTTTTACTTTTGATTCCTGAAAATGTGCCAAAGACCTGGAGACAAATTCGATTTGCTTGAAATAATACTTCTTCTTTTACGGGAAAGGGTTTACCGATAGATGGACAAAATGAGTATGGTTTGCATATAAGCACAGATCCTGTGTAGGTATGTTCGCTTCATATCTTAATTACTCCGCAATTGCCTGTTACCAACTGTTCTTATAGGTTCAAGTTGGGTGTGAATAGGAAATAAATGATGAAAATACAAATAAGTATTGTAGTTAGACGATGCTAAATTTGGCTGTTTTATTGTATTATTCTTTGCAATAACAATTAGAGTAAAAATTGGAAAACACGAAATTTTTAGGTTGCAACTTACATACTTATGAATTAATGTTTTGGTACTTCAGCATTATACTCTCTTTTAATATTACAGAACTAAAATTAGTACAACAGCGCGGATGAGTGACCTTTTCTCTCCTGTAAAATTTATTACATGTTTAAATGAGAATGACAGGAAGCAAGATGTGAACTAGGCCAGAAAAATTTTAGAAATTCTTTTACTCAAAATTTAGATAAATGTCATAGGTAAAGTGGTTAGTGACGGTCAGAATTTCCATAAAATTTCCATAAAATCGATATTCTTCTCTACGCATTTTCTTATTATCTAACAGTATTTGGTGAATACGATAAAAACTTTTCCAACTATTCGCCAATTTATAAAGAGCTTTGACTATTGGGTGAAAAACTTTTTTCTCAAAACTATGTGTTCAATGTAACTTCAAAACTGTTCCGTAGATTCAAATATTAATTTTCAATTAATACAGCTTTTAGAAAACATAAAGAACTAGTGTTTAATTTATAGACTTAACTTTTTTTCTATTTCGATTATATATATATTAAAACGTTTTATTCCCGAAAAAGTGGTGAAAAATTTATTGGATGCGGCGTTTTACTAATATTTTCTTATATTATTTATTAAAAAAAAAATATTTTTGTTCTTTCGACTGATTTAAAATTAACTTCCAAGGAATTGGGATGGTGTCCGCAAAGCAACTCTTTTGGAACTCTGTCAGCGCAAGCAACCATAACTTTCGAAATGTTTTGATTTCAATTGTTTTATTATTTGGTAGAGTAAACAATAATCCAATATGACTTTTGTATTGTTTTTGGGTTTTTTATGTTTCTGACCATCTATATTTTTCGGAACTAGGGAAAAAATTACAGCAATAGTTTTGGACGGTGGAAGTTATAGTTGCTATTTTGGAAACCACCACGCTTTCCTCATCAGACTTCTGTTTCCAAACACCTTTGTTCGAATAGGATTCGAACTTGGGATGCCTACAGTACGAGCTACATGTGTGCCGGTTTTACTTACTGTTGTTTTTCACTTTTCCTTTTACCTACATATCCACGATCAAGTGCTCAAATATTCCGCGGCTGTAAACTTGGCGCGATGTGTTTATTTTTGCGAAGAATTTACCAACAAATATTTTAAGGCAACGCCCTTTTTATTATTGGAAAATTTCATTCGCACGGCAAAGATTCTTCCGTAATTCCTAGATGCTTTTTCAGGTCATTGTTCTGTTGAAATATTTTACCCAAAAAAAAATAATCCATTATAATTGTATTAAATTGAAGACTTTAGTTAGAACTTACCCATTTTAGTCAAATACACACCGTTAGACCTAGATAAAAAAAAGAAAGAAATTATTTAGTGCGAGGTCTGGACTATAAGATGCATACATAAGAACCTCCCATCCAAGATCTTGGAGTTTCTGGCGAGTCGCTATCGAAGTGTGCAAAAAGTCCTTAAATATTTTTCAAGCTGTAAACTTCGTGAGAGATAATCTATAGCCAAGAAATCTCATCATTAGTATATTTTTTAATTATAACCTTTAATCGACAGAGCTGAAGTCCCTAGCACATAAATTATAAGATTTTATAATTTGTTTTTGCGGCCATGCTACATATTAATTTTATTAAGTAACCTACGAGGCTTTGTTGTTTGTATGAATTGAATATTTGTTATACAACAAAGAAAATTGGTAGAAGTGACAGCTGTTTCGGAGATCAACACATCTCCTCATCAGACTTCTTATGGCAGGGATCGAACCAACGGATTCTGACTTAACAGGCGAGTGTTCTACCACGGCGCCAACATCAGCCATATAATTTGTTGTTGTATTATTCAATTCATTTTTAACCACCAATATTTTTTATTTTTATTAATTATAGTAAATATATAAAAAAAATATTTCTGAGCTTGTTTAGATTTTAAAAAGTATTTTAATTTTTTATACTGGAACAAAAACAACAACAAAAATCCAACTTTAATAACCACAAGTCTATAAATATTAACAAAATTTGCCATAAAATCATTTTTATGCACAAAATATAAATTTAACAAAAGTTGTAATTTCTCCTCTCTTCATTCTCCCTCTTTCATTCTTTCCGCAGACGTCAAACGGCCGAGGAACGTGAAGCTGAACGCCAAGCGGCAAATCGCCTCATGTTATCCCTGCAGGCAGAAGCAATTAGCAAAGGATTTGCACCACCACCACCAACAGCGCCGCTTTCTGCACAATCAGTTAACGGTGCACCACTGGCCGCTTTACATGGACTACAGCCGTGGGCTGAGACACACGCGGCTGGTTGCTAATCCGCCACAGTGCTCAACCACTTTTAGAGCGGACATGAACGATGCGAAACTTAATGGTGCACCCAAAAATATCTACTACATACTTAAGTGTAGTAAATAAAAAAAAAACAGTTCATTTGTGATATGCTTTGTATATATAGGAAAATCTATTAAATACATACATATATAATATATAAGTTTAAGTAAAAGACAAGAACAGTAAAAATCTCAATAATAAAAACAAAAATATGTAGGTCTTACGTACATACTTTTAGTCGTTAAGCGCGGAGCAGTTAATTACAATAAGAAATAAAAAATAAGCTTCAATTCGTCGCAGAATATTTTTGAAATGACATAAAAATTAACTTTTATCTATGTATGTATATTTTATCATTCTTAAATAAACTGTTCATTTAATATTATTTATTAACTATTATTTGATTTATTTTTATTTTTTTTTATTATTTAAAAATTAATGTTTTTCTAAAAAAATTAAATATTTATGTAAAAATATTTCAGCTTTTTCTGTGACAAATTTAATATCAAAATAAAATGGCTTCAAATGGAGTTCATTTTCACAAATAACTAAATAATATTTTTATGTAGTAAAAAGCAATTCATTATAAGCTATATAAGTACGTGTAAGAATGTATATAGTACGCTATGAACATCCATATTTGATGAAATCGGCAATGAGTAAGTGTCGTGCTTGTGACGTAAATATGGCTATTGCAAAGAATGCTAAAACTTTCAGCACTAGAACTGAGACCCAGGCTGCATAGTAAAGATAAATTTCACTGTAATCGAAAAATTTGTATCATTTCGGTTGAAACATTTGGAAATATTAACGTTAAAGCAGTTATCGAAAAAAAAAATTCTTATCACTTTTACCCGAAGCAAAAAGATGTCGTTAGTGTTAAATCGCTAACAGATAATGTTAAAACGCTAACGGCCGATAATGTTAAAACGTTAACAGATAATGTTAAACGTTAACAGATAATGTTAAACGTTAACAGATAATGTTAAACGTTAAAATTGTGGTGAGCTGTTAATATCATAGCAGTCAGAATTTTTTAAATTATCGTTACGACTTCAACGTTAACAATTCCATTTCGTTGAGTTAATTTTTCTTCTGTTAGATTTAGCCTATTAAATTTTTGTCCACTTTGCTTACAAAAAATATGTTATTCAACCGCATAAATATATTTTTTCTTTAACTTCCTAGTCAGAATTTTAAATTAATAAATTAATGCATTGAGTTCCGCTCGGAATTCTGTTTCAATTCTTCTCATATTCATTTTAAATAATTTTTTAAATAATTTTTTAATATTAATTGCTTTTTTCCTTCTTTTGCAATAAACGTCGACACGTCACGAGCGCTTTAATACCTAATAAATAAAATTTAGATTACAAGCTTTTTTAAAAACACACGCGTGTGCATATAAATAAAACAACAACAAAACAATCACTGAATCGCTTGCAAAACACACTTTCTTTCACAAAGCTTAGAATATTTTAATTAATTTAGATTTAAATTATAATAAGTGAACTTATAAAAAAAGTCGTGTTTGAAAGAAATGAAATATACACGTTGCATTATTAAAATTAATAAATGTACAAAATTATGTAAATATCTGATAAAAAAAAGGCGGAGATTTATTTTTAATTATGGGGCTCAGTAGTGCAATTCAGTAACTTTTATCGATACGATTTATCGGCTCGCAAACTTGCGAGTTTTGTCACTTGCCCTAACGATTATACGATTCGTTAAGGGCGAATTTGAAAAAATCAAAAAAAAAAAAAATTTTTCCTTAAAAGGTGCTTTAGGATCTTAGAAATAACATAGCAAAAGCTGGATGCCGGCAAATTTTTCATTCCACGGCAGTGCCTCGCAGGTATGGCCCGAGCGCCATTTAATTTTAAGCGCGTTTTCTCGAAATCGCTTTTTTAAACTGGCCGAAGACACATACCTCAAACAAATCTGCACCGATTCTTACGAAATTTTGACAGTACGTTCGAAATACCGTTCTCCGAAAACGTACGTAGGATTTTTTTATATTCTATGTTTTTTTAATCAACAATTTTATATCGTTTTTATAGTGAAAATAGTAACTTTTTGTTCAAACCTGCACCATTTCACGTAAAAACAAAATATCGGAAATATCTTGCATATGTTTCTTGTTGTTGTTATATAGAAACTAGAAAAAAATTATTATTTTTTGATCCAGGACAAAAATTAAAGAGTTTACATCTTCGGTCATGGACACATTAGAAAAAATTCGTCTTCCAAAAATGCTGGACAGCGGCCATTTTGAAATTAATTCACACGAAAAATTTTTTTATTTGTACCATGAAACCTATATTATTAAACCTATTTCACAGATTTCGAATTGATTCCCTTGTTGAGTCAAAATAAATTTATAAAATATGCCCATTTTCCCAGCTTTCCTTAAGGCGATTAGAACCTTTAAGCATAGTATTAAATCCGAAAAAAAGAACATTTTAAAAGTTATTTTATTACCTGTTTCTCTGTAGATATTGCTGTTATTCTCCTGCTATAAATTTGGCTATCAATTTGAGAAACGAATTCTTCAACTAAATGTGGCTTTAATCAACTAAGTCAGTTGCATTCAAGTGGAAACGATTTTCCACTTTACGAAGCAAACGTCTATCCAATGTTGAAGGCATCTTGGGATAAAACTTACGCCAAATACTCAATAGCCATTTTTGTTTCTAAATTTATTTTATATTATTTATTTTAATTTTAAAAAAATATCAATCTTTTGATCATCAAAATATTCGTCGCTCAATACGCAATTTTTCGACTAGTTTATAACAATAGCTGATCAAGCGAAAATGAATATTGTTCAAAAAAAATACAACAAATGTTAAAATCGTTAAAATTATCGCTAAGTCATCCGGAAATCGTTACAATACAACAGAGAATCCCACCACAGTGGTCGACGGTATATCGATTATCGATAAATAAAGATTTCGTCGTTTGACGCAAGCTACCAAAGCTCCATACTTTTCTTATTTTATACCTTTTTTGAAATTCGCTTGAGTACCTGCAATTAAATTACCAAGTTAGTTACAAATAAGCACGTACTTCAGGTGGAGAAATGACAAGGCCACTTAAATCAAGTGTCACATAAAAAATGTTTTATTGTAGAAATCAATGACAGTGAAAAGGATTGCGCACTTTTTTTCTAAATTTATTATTAAAAGCACACACCATACGGCCTTACATCATCCGCGCACAAACCCCTAAATTAGCATCGACCTCTAGGATTTTTTCCTAACGTTAAAAGCGTGTTGATGTACACAACGCTTACTGGATCTGTGACTCACAAATGTTTGTTCAGCAGTTTAAATAGTTTATTATATTCTCATTCATATCATTCATAAGGACTCTTGACTTTTGCATTGCACCACATTACCAAACAAATCCCAACAGACACAAACGACACGGCATGCGACGATAAGAAAAAAAGTGACAATGGAAAAACGGAAAAATTAAACAGAGACATTGCCATTGACAAAACGTCTGCAGAACATTTGAAATTGATGAACTTGTTACATGGACCACGCTTTGTTGCGCGAAACACGTGTCAGAGCGCGCTCATCATTTACCATCCACCAGCAGCCTGTTATCCGCGGCGATGTGAGGACTCCTCAACCTGCTGCTTACACAATCAGACTGTAAATTATTACAAGCATATTTTTTCCACCCTTCAATTTCTTCGCTACTTTGCTTGCGAAACAAGCAATTATCCTTGCATGTCCTTGACTTCACGAGTGTGTGTGAGTGCTATGTGTTTGTGTGTGTGTGTGTATATGTACACTTCGAGTGCTTAATTGAAAGGGCGGTGTTGTGGCATCATCCAAATGTTGCTGTAGTATGATTAATATATTTTTGTGTGAATGTTGTCTCAGTGCGTGTATTTCACGGCGGTTACACGCATATCCTGTTTCAAATCATTTTGACAAACGTTTTCCTATGTTTGCTGATTGTTTTTATTACTTTAGCACTTTACCCGAAATGTAGCCGTTTTTGCTCTTATTTAATGTAATTGCCATCGGTTGTGGATTTTTTCACTTGCAAGTGGCATTTCATTTAGATGTGCGAGTTACTCGTCGTAAAATCTAACGAGTAAATTTGTGACACGGTGGCAAATACATTAGATTTTCATACCATATAATTTATTATTTTATTATAATTGTAGTTATAAATGTGCGGTAAAATTGAGCAAGAATATGAATTCAAAATTATAATGTTTCAAAAAAAAAAGAAAAAATGGTAAAAATTAAAATTCCAAAACTTCTTCTCAACTTCAACTTTTACCACCACAAATGTGTCGATGCATAACTTTCCAATTGCAATCGAATGCAATGCATCACTGTTGACATATCTGCTGTCAACAGCACACTGCATATGAGAGCAAATTGTGTGGCGCAAAACTTCTGGTCGCAGTTGATGAGTGACAAAACTGTAAAGGAGATGTTCACACACAATATTACTCAACTGAAGTTAAGATCCTTGCGACGTAAATGTAAAAGGTATGCCAACGCAAATTTAATTTCAATAAAATTCAGCCAACAAAAGGGCGTGAAGGGACATACAGCAACCACCTCACTTGGCAGAGGACAAGAGAATGCACTTTATGCAGAGCGCAGAACAAAGTATTTAATTCTGGTGTGAAAACAGGTTTTGATACCCCTGGGGGAAAAAAGTATGAAATGCCAATTTGGCTATTTTAAAATTTTGGAAGTGTCAGCACAAGCATAAAATAAAATTAAATAAAAAATTTAATACAATAAAAAAATTAAAAAAAAAGATTAAATACAATAAAAAAAATTAAATAAAACTAAATTAAATTAATTAAGCTAAAACAAAAAAATAAAAAAAAAAATAAAAAAATTTACACAAAATTACTTAAATTATATTAAATGAAATGAATAATAAAAAATAAATTTAATAAAACAAAAGAAAGTAAAATAAAATAAAATTAAAAATTAGTTTTATATAAATTGAAATTAAAATAAGATAAAATCAAATGCATTAAAATAAAGCAATTTAAACTAAATTAAATTCATTAAATAAAACAAAATAAAAT